TTCTTAAGCAGCTCTGGACTACCAATACCTTTCATAGGTCCAAATGCTAGTGACAACCTGGCTGGAAATTAAAGTTAAACTTTAAAAGTTATGTAATATTTTGTTGCTGATGTGTTTCTAACTTTTGGCCGTCTTAAAAATAACCGCATAGCTGCTCTTAATTTCAGGGGAATTAATGATTTTATGATTATAATTTAATCATGGGGATGGGTTGTAAAAATCATACATAAGGAAAATAGGTTGTAGATTGAGTTATGATATTGGAACTTTAAACAAAAAAGTCATGAAAGTCTTTGTCCAAATTGCCAGTTATCTCCCTGATTCTAGGAAGGTTGAATCATTTTACCGAGACAAATAGATACGCAGTGCCTTTTCTTTTGGGCAGAGAGTTACACTGCCGGCCTGACCTGGCCCCCTCTTTTTGGTGTTAACGTTTAGATATGAAATAGTTACAAACACAGCTTTATTGTAGCTCTTCTGGGCCGCTGTTTCGTTTATCAGGTTGGGGATTTCCTGGAGCCTTCACTTTCTTTTCCTTATCTCTGTATTGTCTGGATGCTGGTACCTGGTCAGATAGCCTTTCAGTAGCACTTTTTCAAAAAAACGTATAATATGTGTACTACAAAAATTCCTCTCATTGTTATGTATATTGCATTGCTGCTTGGTACTAAACAAAGTTTCCAAATAAAGGGAAATTGTGAAGCTTTGTTTAAGATACTTTAAGAGGGTAATGGCTACGGCTATATACTTTTGCTGGTTTTTATAAATATTAATGATAGCAATTATGTTGAAGGAAAAATGTGTGAGTCGAATTGCACCCTTCCAGGGTGAGTGCTTTGCTTTTCCTTTCAGCTGTCAGAGATTGTTTTGCGTCTGACAATTCTCTTGAAATAAAGCTTGCAGAATTATTACAGATTAAGGAAATCAAGTGACCATTAATGGCAAGAATTTTTTTAAAAAAGTTTTACCCATTGTTTGTAAATAATACGTGCCTATTATTAGAAAATTCAAAAATATAAAAGAATTTTTAAAAAGCATCCTGATCGTGGCTACTCAAAAGCATTCTGATATTGTTTTTCTACGCTTTCTTTTTTCTGTTTTCCGATATTTCCTTTTTCGACATTTAGTTTTAAAAGCATACTTGTTATCAAACCGCATATGCAATTTTTATCCCGTTCTTTTTATTTAACATAAGAATTTTCTATGTTTCACAGATTTTATGAAGATGTGCCACTCATTCACTGATTCTTTGAGTAACTGGGTGCCTTTTCTCTGTGCTCTGGGTGCCAAATGCTTTGCTTTTTAAAGTATAGAGACATGGGAGTAGAAAATCATCTAGATTATAATTAGGAACTGCACATCTTCCTGAATTTCCATGTAACTTTGATCTGGATCTGAAAGTTAAATTATTTCCCAGGTAGTTCCGCATTTTAAGTCAAAACAATAATACTGATTGATTTTTATTGTATGTTTAAGCTAACTTCGTATGGATTTAAAAATAAATATATATATATATATATATATATATATCACTCTGCTAGGAGTCTGTCCCTAGCTGAAGTGCTGGACGGGCAGTAGAGGGCAGAGCAGAATCCTGGGGAGGCGGTGGGGGCTGGTGCGCCCGGCTTCTGCACAGGGATTGTTTACAGGGATGAGTGAGTAGGGCAGGGTTCATGGCAAGGTGTCCGACAAGATACTTAGTCACTCACAAAGCACATGACTTGGGCCTTGTCCTCAGAGGACCGAATTAGTGAGAATCTAAACATTTTAGGTGGCACAGAATATGAGATGTAGAAGAAAGAATTTGACTTATCAGCCAGTGATATCCAATTGCCTCCTCCTTTGCTCCTTCCCAGATCTGTCCCAGTGGTCAGGCGCAGACGTGGTATGAGGACAAGCAGGGTGGGCCCGCTCGTGAGCAAGGATGCCTGGATTTAAGGCCTGACTCTGCCACTGACAAACCGTATACCTTGGGCCAGTTCATTAACCTTCCTGTGCTTCATTCTCCTCATCTGTTAAGAGAAGATATTACTACTGCCTACTTCCTATGGTTAAATGAAACACATAGAATAACGCTTGGCACATAAAAGAGCACTCAGTGGATCTACCTAACTACCAGTGTTTTCTACCCTATATGTCTGAATTTGTATATATTGACAAATTTCCTTAGCACTGAGCTTATCAGATGAGTTTAGATGGCCTTAGGGTAGGTGTGTTACTCCTTGATCGCACACTGAACTGTTACTGTGAGGATGGCCTGCTGCTTAGCTAGCTATTAGGAACTATCCATGGTCACGTTTCTGAAAACAGCCAAGTATTGACAGACTTGGTTCCGATCGTGGATCTGTCTCCAAAGCCCATTCCCCTAAAGTAGACTGCTTCAAAAAAGCTTTCACACCCCCTTACCTTAATCTACTTGCTCTAGGCTAGGAGGAGGACCTATTTTGTTTTGAATAAACTTTGATTGAATTATAATATACAAAACAGTGTACATATTCGGGTTGCTGTGTCTTCACAGTACCAGTACTGGGATCAAGAAACAGCATCCCATAACCTTTTTGTGTCTTTCTGGGACCATGCTTTGAAGTCTCTGGTAGAAAGATTTGTGATCATTTGTTCTTGTGCAAGGAGGAGGCATTATGGAAGATAGGGAATTACCCTGATAAAGAGGAGGATCAGTTGTGATGCTGTGGATCTTAAACCGCCCCCACTCCCTCCCGTCCTGTATTTATTTCTCCATTTTTTTTCATTAATGCGAATATCAGAGAAAGAGGGATTGTGGTTTTTTTTTTCCTTTCAAGATTGGACATAGTGAGAGGAGAAAGATTCTTTATTGCAAGATTCATTAAATGAGAATAATTGGAATGGACTTTTTAGGGAGCTGTATTAAGTCTTAGATTTTTCTCCTCCAGACTACGTTTCTCAATTGTTGCTTTTGAGTTAATTTTTCATTACATATCATGATCATTGCTTTTCATCATGTGAAGAATGTAACGTCAAGGAATTACAGAAATGCATGAATACTTACCTAGAAACTTTCATGACTTTAATTCTCCCAACTCTAAATTAGGCATGGGAATGGGCTTTTTCTCAGATGTCAAATCTTGGATTGGAGGTGGGTCCTGGCAGCACTGCATCGGAAGGTTTTGGAGAGGAGTCTGGCATCACAGGAGACAGAGTTGTGATTGATTAGAGATTTTGGCGACAGGGAAAACAGGTCTTGAGTACCAGATATTTGCCTTTGATGATCTAAATGATACTGTGCTATTTATTGATTCTTAAACTTGGTACTCTTCTATAGGACCACTTAATACCTGGTATATCAGATTGGAAACAGTACAAATAGCAGCTTTAAAAAATTGAAGTAGTAGTCTCCCTTCCTTACATGTACCACATGGATTCATCATGCTTTCATACTTCTGTGGTCCTCCCTTCCAGTGTCTTAGAAAAAGTTCATCAGTATTGTGAAAGTAGCAGCGGTGGCAGCAGCAGCTCCAGTCAACAACCTATTGAACTGCATGTGGAATGTGGGAGTCTAGTCAGTGATTGCAGACACTTTTGTAAATGTGTAAACTTTGGATAACCTGAATTATTTTCTATGATACATGGATGAACTGTAGAAAGGAAATAGATAACTTGGCCATGTGTAGGGTTACAAATACAGTGGATAATAAATTGTAATATGCATAGTATTTAATATTTAGGAGCAGGCACCCAGCATGATAATGAATAACAGTGTGAATACTTCTATAATTGTATGATTCCATTTTAGGAAAGAGAAGATTGAGGAAAAAAGGGAGACTGAATTGAGGGAGAGAACAGACTCTTAAGCATAAAAGATCTACACATACCTCCTCTTAGTTACTCTCTGAGTTGCTCTCATGTCTCAGAAGAGTGGTTGTGAGGATACCATTATGCTTTTTCCACTTACTGAAGAAATTGTAGAGCTCCTATTTAAACGTAAGGAAATTTGAAGTCATATAGAGACATCCCCCTTTAAATATAATAGTTGTGGTTTTGTTTTTCATTTCTACTTTACTACATTTTATCAGATTTTGAACTGTGGAATTAAGGCTTATTAGCCGAGTAACAGAGGAAATGGCATTTTCACTTTTAAAAAAATCTAAAAATCCTTTCTGTTAAGATATCATGTTGGTCTCACTGATTGGAGTAATCACAAGATATTAAAAGCCTCTATGGGAGCTTTTGCTGTAGTAAATGAGGGAAAGGGAGAAATGGAGTGTGAGTGTACAAGCAATGTCCTGATCAGACTGTATGCATCTATCTGACTATGAAAGAAGCACACTGCTTGTGACAGTTAGATTCATATCATAGTTTTCTTGTTTGTTTTTAGATGGAGTCTCGCTGTGTCGCTCAGGCTGGAGTGCAGTGGCGTGATCGTGGCTCACTGCAACCTCTGCCTCCTGAGTTCAAGCGATTCTCCTGCCTCAGCCTCCTGAATAACTGGGACTATAGGCATCCACCACCACACCTGGCTAATTTTTTTGTATTTTTTTTTTAGTAGAGATGAGGTTTCACCACATTGGTCAGGCTGGTCTCAAACTCCTGACTTCAAATGATCCGTCCACCTCAGCCTCCCAAAGTGCTGGGATTATAGGCGTGAGCCACTGCGCCTGGCCCATATCATAGTTTTAATGCAAATATTTAGTGTTATTAAACCAGTTGGAAAGTATCTGTTGGACATCTAAAAGGGATAAAACCTGCATGAGGTACAAAAATGAATGTTAAGACCCAGACTAATATGCAAAGAATTTATAATCTAGTTAGGATCATAGAAGTATTATACACTTTTTTTTTTTTTTTTTTTTGGAGACAGGGTCTCTCTCTGTTGTCCAGGCTGGAGTGCATTGTTGCGGTTGTAGCTGACTGCAACCTTGAACTACTGAGCTAAGTGATCCTCTCACCTCAGCTTCCTGAGTAGCTGGGACTACAGGTGCATGCCACCACTCCTGGCTCATTTTCTAAGTTTTTGTAGAGATGAGGTCTTGCTATGTTGCCCAGGCTGGTCTTTAAATCCTGCTTCAAGTAGTCCTCTCGCCTTGACCTCTCAAAGCACTGCAATTACAGGCATGATCTACAAGTGTTTTTTATAGTGCTTGCATAAGTAATCTTTTGGTTCTCTGTTAAAAAGAGAAAGTGACTTTAAAGGCAGTTTATGGGAAGAAAGAACTCATGATCAGTGGCCATGGCAGTTAAGTTTTAAGCTCAAAATGTGTTCCTCTTGGGAAAAGGAATTCATTTTCTTCTAATCTGGTTTTATCTTGATACTATCAATTTAGCATGTGCCGCAGAGAATTCAAGTTGTCGTACGTGTGTTGCAATTTTTATTTCTCAGGAGAGGGTGAATTTCAGCTATTTTTTGAGTTCATGTTGAAGGAATTTTAGGGATTATATATATAAGAACGTCTGAAGGTAATTGAAGGCCCTGCCATGACATTAGTTTTTCTCACACTTGTGGAGTGAAATGTATGGATACCATATATTAAAAGTAATGGCAAAAACCGCAATTACTTTTACAGCAACCTAGTACAAAGGTACATTTACAAATTGCTGAAGCCCAAGTACCAGACAAGGGTTCATCAGATTTTAGGAATCCGTTAATGTTTTCTTCACCAAATTCCAGGACTAAAAAAGGAAAAGAATTGGGGCAATCCCTTGTAGTTTTGTGTGTAAAGATTTGACCTGTATTCCAAAGATCTTGATTTTTATTTCTAATAAAAGAAAAATGTTTTCTTTGTGAACCCACAGAATCCTATTGATTCTGTAGCATTGTTCTCCTTTTTCAGATGAAGTATATTAGTGTCAGAAGTCAAAATTGAGCTGCTTTTGTCCTCAGGTTGGGCTTTCTCATTTGAATATGCCTAGGAATTCAGTGCAAGAGTTCTGAGGGTTTATGGCTGCTCGTTATCATTACTTTTTTTTCTTGTATTAAAGCAAGGATACATCCCTAATCTGCGTCCCACCTCCCCTTGTCATCTATACATTAAGTCCTACATTTGGCTGTTGTAGGTAACCATCCCTCACTTGCTGTGGGTAGAATTTTGCAAGATTGCAGAGTAAGACCTGTCAGCTGACACTGGCTCACATGAGAGCCATTAAGAGGGTGGTGTGGCCAATGTCAGAGCAACCTTGCAGCTGAAGGCAAGTCACTGCATTGCCCAGAGCCATATGAACAGGTCTTGTGACCAATTAATCGACTACTACATAATCTCCAGCTAGGGAGCACAGATGGAGTGAGTCAGTCCAAGCTGCTCAACCTGTTAAGTGTCTTGTCTTTGCTAACTGGAGTGTAAGCTTAGGAACAAAAGTAGGACTTGTCTATGTTTGTAATAGGATTGCAGACAGCGTGTTTTATGATGTGATAGATGGATCTGACTTCCTAAATTATTGGCAGGCTTAATTTATGTAACAGATGAATGCTCCACCTTTTTTTTTTTTTTTTTTTTTTTAACCTGTGAAAGGGGAAATTAGTACACTGCTGCCAAGTAGCTTTTCTTACATACTGTGAAGGGAGTGAAATGATTGTTTAGAACTGCTGGTCATTACGGAATATTCCTCACGTAACAAAGGAACTTCAGGATTTGTCTCCAAGTCCATGTTGATGGTCAGGATAAACCGGAAGAACATTAAACCGCTCAGGAGATGTGTGGCGGCACAGCGAAGACCACAAACCAGCCAGGGAACTGGCAAGACTCTGCCAGATGTGTGAGTGATGCCGTTCCTGGTGATGGGAGGATTTACAGGGCGCTTTTACGCACAAAGATTAAAAAACACGCCGGGGTAGACAGGAGCACTGACCACACGGAACTCGACAACAGGTTTGAAACTTTAGTTCTGTTTCAAAATCTCAGATAATTTTGTATTTAATTTACTGTGTACTATAAGGAGATAGAATTGTATTGATCTGAAAGTTGTTGTTTCTCGTAAGTTCTTCTAAGTAGGAGAAATGGGGTTATTGGTGGGTGTGCGGAGTCAAGTCCCTTCTCTTACAGAAAAGATGTAAGCCTGGGTATTTTTTAGTGACTATGGTGACTCCACTACCCATCTGTTTTCTTCTTTTCATTACCTCTACTGGAGCCAACTTACAAGAAATGTTCACATCTTTGTCCCGTGAAACTTGGATGAAACTGTTCACAGTAATTATCAGGAAAAAAAGGTGCAGTCCTGAAGTACCAGCACAGTTAGTAGACGGGGCTCAGGCCTGGGCATTCTCACTTAATAGTCTGCATGGTGACCAGGTGGTTGTGCTTTTCCAATTGGAAGCAGGGTGGTCAGAGAGACCCAGTCTTCCTCTGGAAGACCCTTTCCATGAGGAGGATGTTATGAACAGCAACTTTTAATAATGGAGCTTGTCTAAAAAGAATAGCATACTTGTAATATTCTTTTTGGTTTATTTCATCCACTTTGGAAGAATGTATTAATTTTATTATTAGTGGTACTTAATTGAAACCCTATTTGTATTTTATTGCATATCAATAAAAACAAAAAACTGTTTTGAGAATTACATTTCATTCCAAATTCTTCCATAGATAGATAGTAAGGAGAGCTAAAGGTTAATGATTAGTGTAAAAACGAGTTTATAAGTTCATTTAACCTGGGCATGGTGGCTCAAACCTGTAATGCAAACACTTTGGGAAACTGAGGTGGGAGAATCACTTGAGCCTAGGAGTTCAAGACCAGCCAGGGCAACATATCAAGATCCCATCTCTACAAAAAAATTTAAAAATAATTAGCAGGGCATGGGGGCATGCATCTGTGGTGCCAGCTACTTGGGAGGCTGAGGTGGGAGGATCACTTGAGCCCAGGAGTTACAGCCTGCAATGAATTGTGATTTTACCACTACACTCCAGCCTGGGCAACTGAGCAAGACCCTATCTCTTTAAAAATAATAATAATAAAATAAATTCACTTAAAACATTTTTTTCTTACAAAAATTTTCTCAAAATTAACATGTCTCATCAACTGTTTATCCCATAAGTATGTTTCTTAGTTTGGTTAAAAATAATCAGGATATAGTTTTTGTCATGTAAAAATCTTTGTCATTTTAAAATAGAAACTTAATAAAACAGGGCAACAGAGTGAGACCTCCATCTCTAAAAAAGAAAAAAGAAACTTAATAAAATGGGATGTAGTCCATCACAGTGTAAGCGCACAGTAGGCTGGAGAGTGAGAGAGAAGTGAGGAACTTATTTTACAAGTGTTAGGTCACATGCTCTTCATTCAGTTAAAGAGATCTGTTTGTAGAGGAGGAGGTAATGATATGGTACACTAGAAAAATACATTTGAGGGTTCAGAGAAGAATTTCACTTTTATAGTATCTGTTTTTATCTGTTTCTTATCAAGAAAGGGCAGCTGAGTGATAGGAGAGAGTAACGGAGTGACGCTCAAGTTTATCTGAATCTTGATCCCTAGCCCTGGGTCCTACCCAGGAGCCTCTAACCCTGGGCCAGTCTCCAGGCTTTTCTTAATCTCACTCTCAACTGCTAAACTATGTAATTGGCTGGGATTATTTTAAAAATTCTTTTTTCTTCTGAGATTCTTAGATGTAGTAGTAGGACCTTCTGTATTCCCTATTTTTGTTATTCTATAGAATTCTAGATCCCCAGATAGTTATTTAGGATGAAAGGCGAGGAGTGAATGTCCACATAAGAAAATAATATGCAGGTCCAGTTTTTTAAAAACCTCTAACATTTTTGATATGAGCTGCTGCTTCTCACCTTCAAAGTGACGCCTTAAACTTTAACATTTTCATACCTGTTATCCTCTTTCCTTATTTTAACTTCCTTTAGATTTACTTCTGTAATGCTGAGAATTTTTTTTAGAACTTTGTACAATGATGACATATATTTGTCAATTAACTGGAATTCATCTCTAGTCAGATGATGTACTGTGGTAGACCTCACCCGCTTTCTCTTCTCCTTACTACAATCTTGGAAACATTGCTTACTTGCAGTATTGTGCTTGGTTTCCAGAACTTCTTTAGGACTTGGGCCAACTTGAGGGTAGAAGCGAATTATTGACAGGCGCTTGCACTGAAGGACCTGGCTCCAGAGTGCTCATGAGTTACCTGTTTGTCCAAGTCATGTGGCAGTCAAGTAGGTAGGACTTCCAATCTCTTTTTGCTCTTTGATATGTTAACTCAATCGTTCCAAGTGGCCTTCTTAGTTCAGCACACTGACAAGCAGGGTTTTTTTTTTTCTTCTTCTTCTTCTTCTCATGATGTTCCAGTAACTGAAACGGTGAAGAGAAAGATTCCCCAATTACAATAGAATCATGTCGTATATGTGATGACGGCCACAGTGTAAAGCAGACAGAAACAGTGCAGAAAGAAACATGTTGGTTGTCTCATTGTGCTTCATGTAGCATGACACATTTCAGGATAGGAGTTGTCCTCTGCATCTCCATTTCCATTCCCCCCAACCTCTATGAAGGCAGATGTTGGGGGTTAATTCATTTCACAAAATTGTAGTGTCAACAAAAAACTACTAAGTTTGATGAGAGGCGTCTTAAATGGCATGTCAGTAAAAATTCCTTGCTAAAACTCCCTTCAAATCTAGTGACTCTTTGCTGGGCACGGTGGCTTTCATGCCTGTAATCCCAGCACTTTGGGAGGCTGAGGTGGGCGGATCACTTGAGGTCAGAAGTTCGAGATCAGCCTGGCGAACATGGTGAAACCCCATCTCTACTAAAAATACAAAAATTAGCCGGGTGTGGTAGCAGGCACCTGTAATCCCAGCTCCTTGAGATGCTGAAGCAGGAGAATCACTTGAACCTGAGATGCAGAGGTTGCAGTGAGCTGAGATCATACCACTGCACCCCAGCCTGGGCAACAGAGCAAGACTCCATCTCAAAAAAAAAAATCTAGTGACTCTTAAATATGATGCCAGGAATATGGTATCATCCTCATGTAATTGCTTCCAATCCTCTTTCTTAAAATATTGACTATAGCAAAGCCGCCAACAACTTTTGAGTTTTTCAAACTTTCCCGGCAAATTAGCAAACAAAATCCACAGGGCTGTTTATATGAGAAATCTGGGACTTGCCAAACGTATCTGTGAATCATTGTTGCTCTGGTGGCAAGAGAAAACTTGCCATGTCTTTCAAGTATACCCCTTACACACTGAAAAGGAACTGAAACAGAGCACTTCAGAGTCAATTGTGCTTTACAGTTTCATATCTTGACATTTGATTTCAGAAGAAATTCTCTGTACTGCTTTAGAATCACCAGGATGATTCTAAATGAGTATAGATATTCATCTTAGATACATTTGTAGATGAGATAGTTCTATTAAAAAAGGGAACTCCTTAGATTGTCTGTGGTAGTTACTTAACAGGAAAGTAAGTACAGAAACTTGAGTGCATTTTTTCCCTGGTGAGCTGCTTCACATAGATAAGCTCACCATGATTTTATGACTAGTCTTTATTTATAGCAGTTGGGATTACTGACTAGGAAATATAAAAATAGTTACAGATTTAGAGAGAGATATGCTAAGGCAACAGACCAAAGAATTCTGAAGAGTATAATAAAAGGTCATTAAAAGTAAGTGTAATGCAGGTTTGCAGGAGTGGAAAGAATGTTTCTCACTGCCTGTGGCTCCTGGAAACAGTGTGAAAACCGCTCTACCCTGATGCTACTTAATAGAAAATGTAGCAGTTGGACAGGTTGAATGAAGTGGGTAGAGAGGAAAAACAAACCCTAGTCAGCTGATGGTCTTGTGCTTTGTGACAAGCTTCACAGAGAGGTCGTAAATGGTTGGGTGTGACTCTGATGCGTTGGGTATTGCGGTCACACGTTCTTCTGGGCTTCCTGCATTCCTTCCCTTTTTACTGATTTTTATGTACCATGAGAATTTTTCTTTGACTAGTTAGAAGAGTTTATTTCTGCTGGCTGAGGGTAGAGATTTTGAGACGTAATTCCAGACTTATAAGAGTGAATGAATCAAGGAATGCAGTGTCATGTCTGATTTAGGGTTCAAGAACATTTGTCTTTTCCCTCTGAGGATACATCACTTACTAGGAATAAATCAGCAATCTTAATATAGGAGATTTTCGTAGAGGCTAACAACTGACATCAGCTTTTGTCTGGGTCATATTTGGATAAGCTTTGATGACATAACAGGGTAAAGCACTTGTTATTAGTCACCATAGCTAACTCTGTCCAGAATGACAGTGTTCCAGGCAGAAGATGAGGTTAATCCAGCTCTGGAGTCTTCTGAAGCCTTTTTTCCTCAAGTTCCGCTCAGCTCTGTGCTGAAGTGGAATGCTGGCTGAACTGGTACCCCCCACCATCCCTGGTTCTCCCGTTATGACTCCTGTGGTGAGTCAGGCTCTGGCTTAGCCTTATCCTTTTATTGTTATAGTAACAAAAGCCAAATAATTGCTGAACAGTGATGTAGCAAGCCCTGGTGGGAATTGGCGAGAGCAATAACTTGTGACCCATCTAAGATTATAACTGTCAAAAGTCACCAAAGAGAATCCAGCCTGTGGGTTATAAAAACACCAAGGTTCCTGGGAATTTTCTTCTCTTTTATGAGTTCCCAAGGGGATATTGAGGTATCAGGTGTACATCCATCCATCAGCCTTATGTCTTTAAGGGTTTAAGAAAGGTTTTTTAAAAAACTACTTTAGGTTTTTACAGAACCAATGTGAATGAAAATCCTTTTTTCTCACTATGCCATATCCTTTCACTTTCATGCCTCACCCTGTCCAAAGACAGAAAAAGGAACTTAGTTGACTTAAGCTATTTTTCCACTTACTAATTTTCAGCTCTAGCATATGAGAACCTAGACTTAATGCCAGATAAAATGGAAGGGCCTTT